AAAATGTTTCAGTTGCTAAAATTGGTCCTGTTTAATGATTTTCAGTTTTCTTATGTTGCCTGATGTTGTAGTGAGTTTATATATTATCTGGTTCATTTGGGTTTTTGCCATGTTAAGCTGGATTTTCTTATCTGATTTTAGCTTACTGATCTTGTTAGCTGCTGAGTATGGTTTGATGATCACTTTTAATCTTTCCACTTGTGCTATCTCATTAATTTGATTCCTCTTTAGAGCCGCTAGACTTTGCAGCTGATCGAGTTTTGAAATCATTAATTAGTCTGCAAGACTACTCTATACATGTTCATCAATTGGTACTCAGAATATAATTTGATATAATGTTTGCTTGTGAATGTTCATTCCCTTTGTTTTCACCCAAAATCAGTTCTTTTCATAGTTTAAAGCTCCCACTTGGATATCTAATCACTATTTTTAAACTATCGGGTGCCGATAGTTTTGTCAATAGCAAGAATCGTTCCTTCGTGTAGAATTTCGAAATCCAGACTTTCTTCGAATCATATTACGAAATCTAGAGGGCCCCAAAATCGGTTCTTTTCAAACATCAAAACTTTCATCCCTTATTGATGTTCTAGACTAGGATTTGTTGGGATTTCTAATAGTGAGATTCGTCAAACCATTGGCTATTCACGAGTTTTCGCAAATAGCGGGAATCTTTCCTTTTGTTGTACAATTGAGAAAAAATCCACATTTTTCTCTGTATCATATCACGAAAGCTAGAAGCCAGTCGAATCGTAATATTGCATTTTTTATATTTATTTTGCATTTGTTTATGTGTAACGATGAATAAATCAGTTTCTTGATGTGCAGAATGAAATGCCTCGTACCTTAGAGTCCACAAACGTTACTAGAGCAGCTTCGAATGCATCAATCGAAAACCATGGAATTGAAATAGGTGTCGAGTTCAAGCCGATCGAGCACCCAACCGAGCCTCTCGACTATGATCAACCTATCCAGTGTCCATTACCAGAGCCCTCAATTCTTAATGTAAGCATTTATTACATAGAATTTTTGTTAATGATTAGCTTGCAATCGCTCTATCAAATCGACATCTTCCTTAATTTGGTTCAGATAGTTATCTCTATGAATAATACTTGGATTATTACAGTTAAAGCTTCTTCACCATTTTGTTTCGATGCTTACAACTATCATACATACAGCTTATTCGAAGTTCTTGATTCTACTACTTTTTTTTTTCAGCAACTAAAAAAAAAATTAAAAAATACAAAAAATCATTTTCTTGTAATAATCAGGATGGAAGAATATGGAAGGAAAGAGTGTCGGCAAATGTAAAGACGAGGGCCGATATGCAAGACCAAACGGGGGGCAATAATGTACACGACACTCGGCGAACAAAAACTCGGGCCCACAACCGAGTCATTTTGCCGTCTGTCAGTGCTCCAGAACATAACATCCTTAAACTGCTCGAAGAATGTAATGCATCTGGGATTAATTAGCTTCAACAGCTGATCACACTCTCCAAAACCTTTTGTTCCTCTCATTCTCTTCTGTATTTTATGGTTGCATATATAACATGCCCCTGTATATTAATTATAACTTTGGCTTGTTAAATGAATTCTTGTTGGGCATTATGAAAACTTGTGAGTTGTGGCAACTGGCATGTATTATTGTGGTCTCTCTCTCTCAAACACGCACACATATGTGTGTGTGTGTGTGTGCGCATTTGTTGAAGAATGCCAAAGGAAATCCAATGTCCCATTTTCCTTACATTTGGACATAAAATATAGCACTATTAGAAATAGCTCACAATCACTAAATCATATTTTTTAATAAAATAAAGTATTTATTATTTTTATATTACGTATACTTTAATCATTATATTTCATAATTTAATGACAATCACATTTTTTTTTCCTTATAATTTTTTTAACACCTATGTATAGATATGAATGTGATTGGTGGTGTTACAAAATTAATAAAGCAAGTGGTTGTGGTTGTGCTGGCTTTGTGTTTTCTCTTGAATCATAATATTTGGAACTGATTTCGATAGGATTTAGTGATTTTTCCAGATTAAGTGTCAACTTATAGATGTGTCTAATCTTGTGTATCAATGTGTAGTAATTTTATGCACATACGTTAAGAATTTGAAAATAGTATAATAGCTTAAATTAGGTAGAGACTTTTATGCACACTAGTGCATAGCCCGTGCGATTCACGGGTAAATAATATTAAATAATAATTATGAATTAACGATAACAGTAAATAATATTAATTAATAATTATAAATTAAATATGAGGGTAAACAATATTAACTAATAATTGTAATTAAGATGTGGAGATATTAACTAATAATTGTAATTAAGATGTGGAGTTAATATGTGATATAATTTATCGTATATCAGTTGTAAACAATATAAATTTATCTTGTTTAAAATAACATAAAAAATGTATGTTTAAAATATTAAAAACACCTAAAATATTATATAACATATGCAAAGTATCTAAAATTTTATATATCATTATTGAAGATGTGAAGTCACCTAAAATCTTTCTAAACTATTTTATAAATAAAACATGCCTAAAATTATTTAAAAAAATCTTGCCGAAAATATGTTATTCAATTTCCAGAACATGATAATAAGTATAAGTTTGAATTTTAGAATCCACGTGAATATTATTTTTTAGATCCGTGTACTATACAAATTATTCATTATGTTAATTTCTTGTAAACTTCATATTGAATTATTGATTTTATTTGATTTCTATACAAAGTTGATCGTCTCATTTTGTTTTACCATATTTTCATGGAGATTTAACAAAGTAGATTGCATTTATAAAATGATTTGGATATCAACATACAATTTATAATGAAGTTTTCAAAATTGTGTACTATTAACAAATGATATATTATCATTAAATATATTTTTTTTAAATGCACAATTATTGAGACTGATAATTTGATAATTATTTTACCTTTTGAAACTGAGTATAGAAAAAACAATAGATTGGTAAACAAATAAGTGATAAACATTACAAAATTTATTATCACACGTTCCAAATAAAAAAATTGTGATGATTAATGGAAAATGATATTTAACGAATAGCATTCAATATTGTTTTTGAAAGACATAAATATAAAGACCGATATTCTAAAATTTTTATTACCTTTTCAATTGAGATTTTATAAATATAGAGACTGAGATTTTAATGTTCTTCGTCGTTTTTATGAAAAAATAAAATAAAAATAAAAAATGCACACTTAATAGATCTTAGCTAGAATTTTTAAATAATAAAATAAATTAAAGCCAAAAATTTAATGCAACATTAAATATTGTATGATTTTTCAAAGATAAAAATAAAAAATAAATAAAAGTTACTATTTATAGGTTGCATTAAATTCTCTCCTATTTTTTTGCTACTATTTTTGTTAAATGGTAATTCTTATTATATATGTATAGATATGTTAAGAATTTTAAAATAACATAACACTTGATTAGCTTAAATTATGAAAATACCTTTTTGAACCAGTATTATAAGTACCTAAATACTATTTAAACAAAAAAATAATGTAATTGTTTAAAAAAATATTAAAAATTTCAAAAAATTAACTTTTATTTTTTAAAAATATTCTTAACTAACATTTGTACATTACATGAGTGTTTTACCACTACTATTTCATATATCAAATTAAACATACAAATTTCTTATTTATTCATTTAAAAAATATTTTATTCTTGAAGCTTAGCTCTTAAACTGGGCCAATAAGTCCACAAGTTTTTTCACTTTGTTATTGTCCTTCCAGAACCGGACAGCTATTGGGCTTATGAAAAGTCTGATTTTATTTGGGCTTAGCATTCTCTAAAGTGGGTCATATGGACCCACCATACCTTTCTTCCACAAAAAGAAAAAGTTCGAAGCTGCATAATTATATATATGAAAAAAAGAGAAACAATAAAAACACATACTGTCGAGTAAAATCATCAGCTTCTCTCCACTCTCGACTCTCTCTAATTTCCTACCGGTGAGCAGCTCCGTTTGAGCTTAGATTGGCGGCGGAAGGAGAAAAATCGATGGCGGCGCTACAGTATTTGGAGACCCTGCGGAATGCGCACCCGGAGCTCTCTGAGTGGTACAACGCGCTTTCAGATCTGTACCAGAGGAAGCTATGGCACCAGCTCACTCTCAAGCTCGAACAGTTTGTCGCCCTCGCTCTATTTCAGGTTTTAATCGGCCAGATGCGTGCGGATTAGATTGTGGATGTGTTATGGATTGTTATTTGATATTTTTCCTTCGTTATGCTCTGGGCTTTTTTTAGCTTTAATTCCGTGTTCTTCAATTTGGCGGTGTACTGGATTCACTCTTTCGTTCTAGTATGGAATTAGGTTGAATTTTGGGATGCAGGGTTAGGTGTTAGGTTTTAGGGTTTTGCTGTAGGGCTCTTTATGTTCTTTTGCGGCTGAGTTAGGTGTCTGGTGTTTTAGGTACTTTTTTCCTTTGTTCAGGGCGTCGAAAGAGATGCTGACAAATTTTGCTTATGCTGTCCCGTGGATATAGGAAAATGAAAATATAAATTCATTACGAGCTGGGCATATTAGGATAACTGACATGTTCTCCATGGTAATTGGAATTCATTGGGGGAAAACTGACATGTTCTCCACTCAGGGAAGTAGCAAGAACTTAGTATATAAATTTGTCATTGTTTGCTAGCTATTGGGATAACGGAGTCTTGGACATAACTGGCTCTTCATTCACCTCATGTAAACCTTACTGAATATAAAACCTTTAAGCTCTTTCTCTTGTTCCCTTATCTATTTTCTTTAATTAAAATTTTCATAAAACCGAAGATTCTGTCCGTTTTTCCATTATTTCGTACTTACTTCATCTTCATTTTGTGCTTTTGGTTCAGGCTGGGGATGCTCTAATCCAGCTGTACAACAATTTCATAAGTGAGTTTGAGACAAAGATCAATCTTCTCAAGCTCGCTCATTTCGCCGTCATAGTTTCTAGACAGTATTCGGAGAAAGAGGCCGCTATAAACTACCTTGAAGGAGTGATTGAAAAGCTTCGAAATACCAGAGAATCACGCATTGAGGAGCCAATACTTTATATTAAAATGCAGATTGGTCTATCCAAGCTCGAGCAGGGAGATCAAAAGGAATGCAAAAAACTTTTGGATGCGGGAAAGAGTACGCTTGACAGCATGACCGACATTGATCCATCCGTGTATGCCAGCTACTATTGGGTTTCATCTCAGTATCATAAATCCCGTCAAGAATTTGCAGAATTCTACAGAAGTGGTCTCCTTTATTTAGCTTACACTTCTGTAGAGTCTCTATCAGAACCATTTAAGCTGGTATGCTATCTTACATTCTTGAGTTTAGTAATCTCAATATGCTTCTGTTCAAAGTAAGTTTGAACTCTTGTTTTGGTTCTTTAGGAATCTCAGCTCTCTAACCAAATTTGATTGAATAATGTCCTTGATCCATGCTTGTAACAGTTTCAAGATTTTATATTGGAGATTTTATTAAGAACTGGGTTTAAGATGGATTTTAGTCGTCGTCGAGGAATATGAATCTTCTGGGCTTTGGCTTGAGTTGATGTTTTTTTTTTTTTTGATCATATGTCATTATTGGTAGTCTATTACCCAGATAGTTACCTGGGAAGCTGGTTTCTGAATTTTGTAATGGATTAGGTTCGCCAGAAACTAGCAGCATTCTAACATAAACCCCGTATAAGATGAAACCTATTGATGCTTAGATTCAGCCACCTAATTTCGATTTGCCTTATAGTGTTTTTTTCCTTATGTTAATGAAACCTACCGTTGATAGAGCACACACTAAAATATAAAATGCATGTAACCTAGTTGTGATAATTACTGTCTAGTATTCTTGTAATGCTCTTGTTGTTTGTTTTATCAGGATTTGGCATTTGATTTGTCTCTCTCAGCCTTGTTGGGGGACAACATCTACAACTTTGGCGAACTTCTTGCCCATCTGATTGTAAGTACTTCTACAGCGGTTCTGGTTTGCCTACCAAATTTATTCAACATAGAAATGTGATTGTTATGCCATGATGATTTGTCGACATATTGATATAGAAATGATTTTTATTGCATTCTATGTGACATTATGTGACTTAAAAGAATATGACATAAAGGCAGTCTTTTGAAGATTTCTGCTTTTAACCGGTACAAACAAATGCTGATGCCTCGGACATTCATTTTTTCCTTTGGAGGAGATATAAGGAAGACAACCTTATCTATATATTGCCAAGATTCTTTGCATTGATTGCACCTTGCCATATTTTCCCCCTTAAGTTGAATAGCTATGCAATGGTTTTATTTGCTTAGATTATAAGATAGCCCGGGTATTTGATGACAATGGAAACTTCAGGTTATAGGGGTTTGAGTGGTAATTTTGCTTTTCATAACAATTAAATGAGATGCCTCTTTCTGTGGCTTGTTGTGTTGCATAATTTTGTATGGATGGATGAGACTGGGGACCTATGTGCTTGTCACTAGCTCTTCTAGAGCTGATTTTTTCCTGGGCGATTATTGCAGATAAAAAGCCTTTTGGGGACTAAACTCGAGTGGCTTTACTATATTCTTGAAGCTTTCAATACTGGTGATTTAGGTCGCTATCAAGAACTATGTCGTGTACATGGAGCTGCTTTGAGTACCCAACCAGCATTAGTCCAGAATGAGAAAAAGCTTGTTGAGAAGATCAACATTCTGTGCTTGATGGAGATTATATTCAGGTGAATCCTTCAGTAAAGTTATTGGTGAGTTACTTTCATTATTGTAATATATGGTTTTCCATTTTATTGAGAAAACACTATTTTTTGCTTACAGCCGGCCGGCAGAGGATAGGACAATCCCGTTAAGTATCATTGCTGAGCAAACGAAACTTACTGTAGAAGATGTCGAGTATCTTCTCATGAAGAGCCTTTCAGTAAGTGCCCAGGCTATATTTTCTTCGTAATTGATGTTTTTTGACGTAATTGACTCTTGAAATTCGTTTTTTGCAGGTGCATCTGATAGAGGGAATCATTGACCAAGTCGAGGGTACGGTTTATGTGTCGTGGGTACAACCTCGGGTTTTAGGAATACCACAGATCAAGTCGTTATGTGACAAGCTGGACAATTGGGTGGACAAGGTGCATACTGCTTTGTTGTCGGTCGAGGCTGAAACACCCGATTTAGTTGCAGCTTAATTCTGTCTGGTCTTTTGTTTTGTCCCTTTTGATATCCGATGAGGGAGAAACCGTAGTTTTGAATTACTTTGGTCACGTATGTGGTTCTTCTCTTCCAATGCTCGTGTTTTTTGCCTGGTGTTTCTTTTTTCTTTTTTTTTTTTTGGAAGTANATTATATGAGTAATTGGCAATGGATTTCTTTATATGTTTCAATGTTAGCTAGCATACAATTCTTGTATTAGTAATACCTATTACTTTATGTTACTAGAATTTTTCTGTTCTGAAGTTTGTGGTCTATAATGTTAATACAGGAATTTCTCAGCAGAAAGCTAATGTTATCTTATACGTTCATTCTACCCAAGGCAATCATTTCCCAATTTTTGCAATCGGATATACATTGTTTTTGAAAAATAAAAAATAAAAAATAAAAATTGTTTGAATGATAAAGGTGAGTGAAGTAATTTTTTTGGGTGGAGTAATACTATTTTTAAATTGTTAAAGGGGGATAAGATAAAATGTAATGATTGTAGTTGATGTGGTAAAAAATACTAGTAAAATAGAAAAGATGAATGGTTGATAATTAAAAATAGTATGTTGGTGAATGGTTCGTTTTTATTGGAAAATGTATAGTTATGATTGGTTTTTATCATATTACATTAAGATTACTCAAGGAAAAAGTGGTTTTTATTATTTAATTATATTAATAGGATTACTGATGGAAAAAGTGGAAGCAGATAAATAGTGTATTTTTGTAAATATTTGTATCGAACGAAAAAAATATAGACAAAAAAAAAAAAAAAAACATGGATACAAACAATCTTCTATTCCTGGGGCTAAAATTATTTTAGGCCGTTAGCACTTGTACATTTGCAGCAAAGCACGAGTTAACATAGCGAGTAAACTGGTTCAACATAGCGAGACACATCGAAAGGAAACAAGTAATTCTACAAATCGATATATTTTAGACTATAGCATCATTACATATATATGCCATCTCAACAGTAGTAACTTTAAGATCAAACAACATACACTACTCAATAAGCATCATCTCAAAAAGCACACTACAATTTTTTTTTTTTTTGAAACATTTGATTTCCACAGATGAAAGACTTCCCTTCTAAGCATCATCATGGTAAAAATGGACGGGTTTCCGGGTTACTTATACCTTCAATAAAAGCAAACAAAACCCAGATAATGAGGATGCCAATAACAGCACTGCGTAAAGTTCGGCTGCAGGAATTATCCATGGTCATGTCATACTGATATGTTGTTGGTTGATCAGATAGGAAATTATCGGCATTTGCAAGATCTGTAATTGACTCTCTGATGTAGGCTTGCCGGTTTGAAATTTGCTGCAAACTGCTCGAGTTGAGCCTAACACATCTCGTGCAAGTGCACGATCCACCTAAATATGATGGGATTGACTGGAAACACTCGGCTAGTACTTTCTTGTACGCCTGCCCTTCAATTCTCAGTTTTTGTTTCGTGGCAGGTTTAAGAACCTTTGAAATAAATGCATCGTAGATTTAGCACAATATAAAATTGCAACTTAACCACAAGATCTCAGCCTTTTTCTTTTCTTTTTCCTGGTGATTTTATATTTTTACTTGGGGGGTGTATTTGTCAGGGATTTCCAAAGACTCATTAATTTGAGATTTTAAAAAGTCTTGCACAATCCTGA